TTACTCTTGTAAACGATGTGCGGTTGCCCGTCGAGAAACATGAAACGGACGGCATCGAACAAGGGATCGGCAGATGTATGCGATTAGGTTGGGCATTGTGTGTATGTTTCCTGGACAGCACCCGAAAAGTAACCAACGAGTAGCTTCACGGTAGGTTTGGATCAACCCCAATTTCGGGATGTATCGTATATGGTTTGGAAGCTAAACTTGATCAACTCAGGATGCATGGCAACCAAGGCTGAGAGAAAACTTTCGGGAATGGATGTCAGTCCCCGATCAGGCAGGATGGGTTTCTTTAGTTTCATGAATGTGAAGAGCTCGGTGAGAAGTTGGCGAGCGTCCATGCGACGGTCGCCGCGCATGTGAACGGTTCTATGCACGCGATACGCCAAGTCGCGCCAATTCTTGCATATTAGCACATGCCGGAACATGTCGAACACAGAAGCTAGATGTGTAATTTTGCGAGCAAATCGTCGAACAAGCATTCGATTGGAGACTTGTGTCTCATACTAATCAACTTATGGCAAATAGAAGGTAAGGGGTATCAGAACTAGATAGCCAGATGTGTTATTCAATGTATGGTATACCCCAGTATAGCCTACAATAACATGTGTGCATACTATGACACACCCCCATAGGCGAAGTGGGGAACAAAAAGCAGGCACAAGACCGGTCAAGAGAAGCAAACAAAACAAAGCTTAGGGTGGATCTCAATATCACCACGCAGTTCGAGCACAAGCAAGCGGCCACAAGGCCAGCTCACATGCAAAGTTATCATAGCAATGGCAGTACACTGCTCACAACCTAGCAAGTGTAGATATATAGCAGTGTACAATAAGGGCAAAGCTAGATCAAGAGACAAGCAAGTGAGGAAGAGTGGGCACAAGCCCAAGAGCAGTGCAGAAGCGCTGTTGATCACCAGACCCGGGGACCTTGGTGAAGATATCAATAGTGTTGACCTGTGAGGCCGCGTAAGCAAGGCGATGGTAACCACGCTGCTGTAGCTCCCGAGCAAGAAAGTAACGAAGAAAAACGTGCTTCATTCTGTGGTCCGGCCTCTTCTCGCAACACAACGCAATCATGGCCTTATTGTCGTGGGCTGGGTCTCCTGGTCGTCGGCTTAAAAGGCGTCTGAGTACCTTGTGAGAACAACTCAACCCCGTCCTCCAAGCACAAGCCCCATTCCTGACGTACTGCACAAGTAACGACCCTCTATGCAGCCCGGTAGTGCTCATGGCGGTGTCTCCTGGGCGCAACGAAGTGCGCCAGGATGCTGAGAGGGCACGCGAGGTCTGGTCAAGTGCAGTCCATTAGGTAGATGATGCAGCCCACAAGCTCTGGATATGGACCACTCGGCTCTACGGAATTTTCCGAAGGTGGAGCTGAGAGCGAGTGGCCCAGGGTAGAGGAGTGGGATATGGCGAGGAGAACTAAAAGCAGAAGCTCCGAAGGACGTGCTGCACCATGTGTGACTGAGTTAGAGTGATGGTGCGCGATGCTCTGGTTCAGGTGATCTGCAAGCCAAGATAGTTGTGCAACTCACATAGGTCACTGCACGTGTGTCTCTTCTCTAGTTAAACCTTCACCAGGGTTAGTGCCTCAGTGTTAGCAGTAGAAAAAACCAAGTCGTCAACGCACACGAGGACGTAGAACGGTGGCAGAGGTAGGTCGGTGCGCAGAAACAGCGAAGGGTCAGCAGTGGACGGATCAAACCCAAGAGCCGCAAGTGTCGTCGTCAGTGTGTCGTGCCACTCGCGGGGCGCCTGGTGGAGACCATAGACTAGCCACTGGAGGCTCCACTGGGTACCCTTAGGAAACGACCCAGTGAAGCCAGGTGGGCGGCGCAGCCAAATCTCCTCGTGAAGACTGCCCTACAAGAAGGCTGTGGAGAATTCAAGAAAATGCAGCTCATAGTCACGCTGTGCTGCAACGTGCCGTAACATCCGATGGGTGGTCATCTTCAGGGTGGGGAAGAAGGTCTGGAAGAAGTCGACCCCTTGTCGCTGGTCGAAGCCTCGTGCAACGTAATGCGCTTGAAGGCAGGCGAAGAACCCGGCAGCTGCTTTACCATAAAGATTCACATGCCATTGACTATGTTCGCCCCAGGAGGGGAACTGCGTCGACGTAAGTGCATGTGGACTTCCTAAAATTTCTGCGTCCATGGCTGTCTCTCACTGAGAGGAGTACTGACCCGAGATCTCCTCTGCGTGAATGCGTGCGGTCGGGATGTATAGTGCATCCGGGTCTCCCTCAGGAGCAAGTCGCATGGTAGCGAGATTAGGTATAGCAACCGCAAAGCACTCGAGCTCAAACTGCCTGTCGTCAAGGACATCACGACCAAGGGCTCGGACATACAAAGGACAGTCCGACTCGGAAACTAGAATCGCAGCGTAGTCAAGGCGGCAGGTAGCAGCAAAGTGAACAAGCTCAGCGATAAAGGGAGACACAACAGGAGACGAAAGTGCAGGGTCAGTCACAAGCATGTCTAGAAGACAGTCGGACTGGCAGCACGATGAGGTTCAGACACAGGGTGAGCAACAACAGGGAGAGAAGATGCAGGAGGCGAAGGCAGGACAACACGCTGCGGAATCGAGGAAGGATGAAGTGCCATGGTGTGAGTGATGGGGACAAGTGGAGGGCGAGCATGAGGAGCACGAGGCGTGATAGGACGCGACGCAAGCTCTCTGCTCTTTGTCAGGAATTCTGTCACCTCAGTGTAAGGAGGAGTAGGCAGGGGGGAGTCAGCCAGTAACAGAGTTTGAGACGAGTCTCGCGGTGAACACAGTAGAGGAGGAGTAAGGTTAGTGGAAGATGGAAGACTAAGAACCTGGCCAAGTGCCGAGTCAGGTGGCGGCAGCGTCGACTGCGGCTGAGGCAAGAAAAACGGTCGCCGCTGCGCTGTACCCACAGTTTAAGAACCTCCATCTCTAGTACCTCCAGCACCTCCAACTCCTGTACCTCTAGCACCTCCAGCACCAGCGCCTCCAGCACCTCCAGCTCCAGTACCTCCAGTACCAGCGCCTCCGGCTCCTCCAGCTCCAGTACCTCTAGGACCAGCGCCTCCAGCACCTCCGGCTCCAGTACCTCCAGCACCAGCACCTCCAGCACCAGCACAAGTAGCTCCAGCTCCATCACCAGAGCGGCCTCGCCGAGGAACCCAGTTGCGAAGCTGCTGCGGCGAGAGAGTCTCCTGCCGACGAGACTTCCGCTGCTGTCCACTCCCAGCACCTCCAGTAGGAGCACCCACGACTCCACCATTACTTGGAATCTCAGCACCCCTAGAACTAGCACCCCCAAACTCAGCACCCCCAGAGTCCGCACCTCCAGTGTCCATCGAAACATATATGCTTATGTGCTTTAGGCTATATGGGTGTTAAACTAGGGGGTACACAATTTCTCTCGATGTTGTTCTTGTACCCCTCCCCCTTGACCTAATGACCCACTATTCTCCTAAGATTCTAACATGGTATAGAGCAGGTAGGTCTGTTAGGACCGGTTTTTTTGTTTTTTTCTAAGAACCTGCCCCTTCCGCTGCCCTTAGCGCGCCCCTAGTGCATAACTTTTCGCTGCCCGTCGAGCGCCCCTAGCGCGCGCCGTATTTTCTGCCCGAAACAAGCCCCTATCGAACAAGTAGATCCCTACCCCGCGCGCCCCGTGCGTTGCCCAGCGCGCACCCCAATCGCTGCCTAGCGCGCGCCCCGTACGCTGCCCCACGCGCGGCCTATTCGCTGCCCGTCGCGCGCCCCATTTCATGCCTAGCGCGCAGCCCGTACGCCCTGCCCTGCCCTTCCCCGTGCCTTACCGTTGCCCTGCCCTGCCGCGCGGAGTCCGTACAGCCCGCACGCCCCTCGCGTACAGCCCGAACAGCCCGCGCAAGGCCCGCACGCAGCCCGTACAGCCTGCGCCAGGCCCGCACGCAGCCCGTACAGCCCGCGCCAGGCCCGCACGCAACCCATACAGCCCGCGCCAGGCCCGCGCATAGCCAGTACAGCTCGCACCAGGCCCGTGCGCACCTGCCCTGCCGCCCGCACACCTGCACTGCTGCCCTACTGCCGCCTATACTGCTGTGGCTGCACTACTGCTGCAGCCTACGCTACTACAGCTGCTGCACTACTGTCATTGCCCTGCACAGTGTAGTGCCACCAAGGGCGGCTGCCCTGCCCTGCTTGCATGTGTAAGATCTGCCTCGTGCACCTGCCCTGCTCCGCGCTGCTGTGTTGCGTGCGCGGCTGCCCTGCCTTGCCCCGCACTGTTGCACTGCTCGTCACGTGCCCCTGCCTGCACGCCGCCCTGCTGGCATCTGCCCTGCCCTGCCTGAGTGCCGCTAACAGCCGCGCCTCCCTGCCCTGCTGACTGCCGCCCTGCCCTGCTCTGCCAGTGAGCCGCCCTGCTGGCCACCGCCCTGCTTTGCCCTGGCTGCGTGCTGCCCTGCTGCTAGCGCGCCCTACTACTCTGCCCGCTATGGCCACTCTCAGTGTACTCTCGTTCGATCCAGAGGGCCGTCCGATACAGTTCGACGAGTGGCTATATGACCTGCAGCTGTACTTACTGAGCGATTCTAGGGACGGTGTCTCGCTGTTTGACCTCATGTCTGGCGCGTCTCTCGCCCCTCGCGACACAGCTGACAGTGTCACAATAAATTTATATCTATTTAGTATAATCTGCCTGTAGTGTAGCTGTTGTGTAATTCCCTTGTATGGTGGTGCACCTCTTTCACCTTTGTTAGGTTGCTATATGTACTCGTGTGCTATAGTGAACCTCCAACCATTTTCAATTCTCCTTGGCACAAACTACTCGACACCCGCTAGCCTAGCCCCTTAGTTAAACCAAGTTACTCGTTAAGTTAGTCTTGTAACATGGTATAGAGCTAGGTCGTTCCCGACCTATTTCTGAAGTGCCCACCGTTAACCTTCATGATGGCGCGTCCCGTTAACCAGCAAATCGCGGCCCCGTTCGTCCTTTCCCGTTGCTCGCCCGTAGAAAAATTCGTCACGGTAGGCATGACGGACGCTACGGTCGCGGCGGGAGTGACGGCGATCGTTGACCCACTGCTTCGCGCCGTCGTTTGCGCCCCCGTTGACCCCGCGCACTACCCGCTACTACAGCCCGCCACCCGCGCGATTTCCGCTGCTGCAGCCCGTCGCCCGTCCCGTCGCACTGCCGCCCGTCGCCAGATCCCCGCCACCCGTACGCACTCCGCTGCCCGTCGCCAGGTCCCCACCCGCCCTCCCGTCGACTTCGCAACTGCTGTGAAGGGAGTGGCGGGGGTGGCGAGAGTGGTGGGAGTGGCGGGAGAAGCTGCTGCTACGCCATTGCACGTGCCAAATCGTCCGCGACCCGCACCCCGCACCCCGCCCGTCGCCCGTACGCCACCTGCACCCCGCACCCCGCCCACCCCCCGTGCGCCACCCGCACCCTGCACCCCGCCCGTCGCCCGTACGCCATCCGCATCACGCCGACGTCCGTGTCCCCGTCCGCGAGACCCGTCCGAACCCCGTACCTGCACCCAGACCGCCGTTCTGCCCCAGATCCCGCCCCCCCCCACCGACAACTGCCACCCCACCCCCATCTCCGGCTCCGTATCCAGCGGGAAGGGGAGGAGGTGTGGTGTTGGCCCGAAGGGGACGGCTGGGGGAGGGGGAGTGGCGGGGTTGGCGGCTCATGTAAGGGGGAGGTTGAGGGGGTGGGTAATCCATCTGCAGCTACTGCCGCCACACCTCCCCCTCTCTCTCTCCGCTGCTGCTGCTGCTGTGGGGGGGGAGGTTCAAGGGGTGTGGGTGGTGAAATTTCAACTGCAGCATCATCCGCCTCCTCCTCCTCTCATCCCTTGCCCCGTGCCCATGCCCGCGCTGTCTGCTCGTGTTCCACGTGCCCTTGCTGTCCGTACCCGGTTGTGCCCCGCCAGTCACACCCGTGCTGTCCGTACCCGGTGCCCCCTGTGTTCCCGTGCTGCCCCCCGTGTTCCCGTTCTGCCCCCCGTGTTCCCGTGCTGCCCCCCGTGTTCCCGTGCTGCCCCCCGTGTTCCCGTGCTGCCCCCCGTGTTCCCGTGCTGCCCCCCCGTGTTCCCGTGCTGCCCCTCGTGTTCCCGTGCTGCCCCGCTCTCCCCGTGCTGCCCCGTTCTGCCTGTGTTGTGCCCGTTCCCGTGCCGTGTTGCCCCGTTCAGCCCTTGTCATGCCCCGTTCTTCCTGTGCAGCCCCGTTGTCCCCGTGTTGCCCCGTTCTGCCCGTGTTACCCCGTTCAGCCCGTGTCCTGCCCCGTTCAGCCCGTGTTTTGCCCTGTTCTGCCCGTGTTGCCCCGTTCAGCCCGTGTCCTGCCCCGTTCTGCCCGTGTTGCCCCATTCAGCCCGTGTCCTGCCCCGTTCTGCTGCCCGTGTTGCCCCGTTCAGCCCGTGTCCTGCCCCGCTCTGCCCGTGTTGCCCCGTTCTGCCCGTGTTGCCCCGTTCAGCCCGTGTCTTGCCCCGTTCAGCCCGTGTCCTGCCCCGTTCTGCCCGTGTTGCCCCGTTCAGCCCGTGTTGCCCCGTTCTGCCCGTGTTGCCCCGTTCAGCCCGTGTCCTGCCCCGTTCAGCCCGTGTTATGCCCTGTTCTGCCCGTGTTGCCCCGTTCAGCCCGTGTCTGCCCCGTTCAGCCCGTGTTGCCCTGTTCTGCCCGTGCTGCCCCGCTCTGCCCATTTGTGCCCTACCCGTGCTGTCCGTACCCGTTGATGCCCCACCCGTGCTGTCATTTCTCGCTCGTGCCCCACCCGGTCTGTGCTGCCCGGTCTCGTGCTGCTCGTCACCCCCGTGCGGCCCGTCCCGTACAGCACCTAGTTGCTACCCGAACCCGCTACCCGTACCGGTGCTCCTCGCATACCGTGCACCAGCTGCGGGGCGTTCAACCGCAGCCGGGCACCTGTTCCACCGCGGTGGTTCAGATGCTGCTTGGTGGTTGCTGCTTGTCAGCTTCAGAGGGGGCCCCTTGCTGGTGTTCCCACGCCCTGTAATGGGGTTTTACAGGTGTACCCCTTCAAGGGGGGCTCTGCACATGGTTATGCACTTCAGGCGGATAGGGGGTGTGTCACAATAGATTTATATCTATTTAGTATAATCTGCCTGTAGTGTAGCTGTTGTGTAATTCCCTTGTATGGTGGTGCACCTCTTTCACCTTTGTTAGGTTGCTATATGTACTCGTGTGCTATAGTGAACCTCCAACCATTTTCAATTCTCCTTGGCACAAACTACTCGACACTCGCTTGGCCTAGGCTACTAAGCCTAGGCCCTTAGTTAAACCAAGTTACTCGTTAAGTTAGTCTTGTAACAGACAGTGCGACTTGCTCACAGTGGCTTACCCGTGACGTTGCTGCTCGCCTAGCCGTTCGCAACCACCTGCCGTTAGCCGAGCGTGCTCACTTTGGCCAGCATAAGACTGCTAGAGCCCTGTACGACTCTGTAGTCACTCGTTACTCCTCCCCGACCACTGCTGCTCTATGCCGTCTTATACTGCCCTACCTGTTCCCAGAGCTGTCCGCCTTTGCTACAATCGCCGACCTCGTCACTCACCTTCGCACTAGTGACGTCCGCTACCGAGCCACGCTTCTCGCCGAGTTTCTAGCCAAGAACCCTCCTTCCATGTACATCACGCTCTACTACATCGTCAGCCGCCTCCCTGACTCTCTTAGCGCAGTCAGGGACCTCCTTTTCGCCCTTGACCCCAGAGCCCTCACTGTCGACCTGCTCGAGAAGCACCTCCTTGCAGCTAAGACTAGCATAGGTGGCGGTGGCAGTGGTGGCGGCAGTGGGAGTGGTGGCGGTAGCAGTGGTAGCGGTCGGGGTGGAGCTGGTCAGAGGGGAGGTTCTGGCGGTGGCCAGAGGCAGCAGCAGCAGCGTTCGAGCGAGACCCCTTCGCCCCAGCAACTTCGTGAGTTGTTTGCTCAACGTGGGGCGTCTGGAGGCAGTGGTCGCTGCCCGTATGTCATTCGCACAGGTGTCCGCACTGGTCAGACATGCGGAAAGCTTCACACCAAGTACCGCTGCTTCTCCCGTCTTGACAACGCCTTTCGCGCAGAGTTTCCCGACGCGGCTGAGCTCCCCCGATGGGCAGAGCTGCTTAGGCAGGGTGTGGATATATTTGTTCTTGATTATGATGCTATCCTTGCTACTATGTATGCATTGACTGTTAGTGCTGAGTGTAACTGTTACCTCTGTGTGCCACCCGACCCCGGTATAGAGGCTTCTGCTCTAGGTGTTAGTGAGTCTGCTCTCTCATGTACTGCGCCTACTAAGGCCTTGCACACCTTCACTCTTGAGACAGGGGCTTCCCGTTGCTTCTTTCGTGACAGCACCACAGTCACACCACTCGCAGCACCGGTAGCAGTCTCTCAGGCTGACCCCTCAGGGGGCCGGTGCCTGCACATTCCTCCACTGTTCTCCCGTGTCCGGCAGTTCCGTCCGGCTCACTGTCAGGTCCGCACCTCCCCTCGTTCTCTACGAACTTGGTGAGCAACGCCGTCCTTCAGGATGAATGGGTTGATACCTTTACCCCTGGAGGACAACGTGTGGAGATGTGTACGTGCTCCCGGACTGGCCGTCACCTGGCCATGTTCACCTGTCGGCCTGGGTCGAGTCTGTACACACTGACTACTGAGCCTTCTCGGGTAGCTGCGTCTGCGTTTCCGTCAGGTCAGCTTTCAGCCGCCTGCTCGTGTCGCCACCTGTCGCACCAGACTCTCCTTTGCTGCTGCTGCTGTGCCCTCTCAAACCGCTCACGCTCTTCCCTCTCCAACCGGAGGAGACGCTGCTCACGGGTCAGGAAACGTACAGTGCGAGGTGTAGGCGCCACAGTGCCAGTGCCTCCATCTCCAGCACTCCCAGAACCAGCACCTCCACTAGTGACACCCCCGGGGCCTCCAGTACCTCCCGTAGGAGCACCCCCAAGCTCCGCAGCAACCAGCCGCAGAGGAGAACGAGGAGGGAACTGCGGGACCACCGGGAAGCCGGGGGGTGAGGCAGGGCGAGGCCGCCGACTCGAGGCTGCCGTGTCCTCCACAGGAATGACCTCCACGCCCACACCCACTGCACCCCCTGAACCGACACCACGAGCTCCTGCAGCCCCAGCACCCTCACCCTCCGCAACTGCACCTCCCGCACCCCCAAACACGACAGGGACTGGACGCTGCGGGGGGGACGACTGCGGAGTGACGTGCGACACACCTGACGGGGCAGGACGCGAAGCGGGGGGGGCTACCGGGGCGACTGGGGGGGGCTCAAGGGTGAGGAACAGCGGGGGGTAAAAGACCTCAGTACCTCGGTGGGGGCGACTCCTGTAGTAACAGACAGACTCGTCGAACGTGACGTCCTGAGAAGCGAAGAACCCGCAGGTGACCGGGTCGTAGAACACCCAGCCGGAGGCGTCCAACAGGAAGCCAAGAAAGACGCAGGCACGAGTGCGCGGAGACAACTTGTTCGCGCCAGGGGCGCGAACGTGAGCCAGACAACCCCAGACGCGGAAGTCAGCTGCTACGCCCTGTAAACCTGACCAGAGAGAGACTGGCGTCACCCGTGGCCGTGCGTCACTTGGCCACAGGTTCAGCTGGTGCGCGGCGTAGCGGACCGCCTGAGGCCACAAGAACTGAGGGGCACCGGCATGGCACATGGAGGTCCGGGCAACCTCCATGACCAGGCCGATGCGACGCTCGGCTACCCCGTTCTGCTGCGGCAAGGCTGGTAGCGTGTACGACTGAATGACTCCCCGACCCTGACAGAACGTCTCCAAAGGAGTGGAAGAAAACTCACCACCACGGTCCGAGTGTAGGCGAAGCCCACACAGGCCCTGGGCACCACCCCACGCTAGTAGCCACGGCTCTAGGACGGTAGGCACGTCGGCCTTCCGTTGCAAGGGGAAAACCGTGGTGTAGCGGGAGTAGTCGTCCACCACAATCAGGAAGTAGCGCTCCTGACATGGTCCAAGGACCGGGGAGGGGCCCCAGACATCCAAATGCAGGGTCTGGAAGGGAGCTGTGGTGGGGGGGAACGAGGAGGAGTGAGGGGCAGCGCGCTGCCGACCCTCGACGCAAGGAGTGCACAGCGGCGCAGGCGAGCGAGGAAGCGGGGCAAGCGACTCTGGGAGACCTGAGACCAGACGGTAACGTGCCATCCTACTGAGACGTGGGAACGACGGGTGACCTAGACGGTGGTGCCAGAGGACAGACGGGTGGGTGAGGGAGCGATAGTCGCACGACACAGCAGCTACCTGACCTGACCTGACCTGACCTGGCCTGACCCAGTGCGGTGGGACCCAGTGTGTAGTGAGTACAGACCAGAGCCCGGCTCCCTGTGAAAAGTGGCCAGAGGGGCCCCAGTGGTACCGACTGTGCAGGAGGCAACAGGCTCGTCCAGTGGGAAAGTGATGACTACACCTAGGTCGTGGAGGTGACTGACACCCACCAGGTTCCTAGAGAACGAGGGGGTGTAGTAACCTGTAAGAAAACCTGAGGGAGCCGCCGGACACGGGAGCGTGGTGGTGCTGCGAGCAACTACACGTCCCACAGAGGGGTCAGCCAAGGCGACAGTGACTGGAGTGCGCAGTGGTGTGAGGTCAGTACAGTCGCGAAAGAAACAGCTCGACGCTCCAGAGTCTAGGGTGAAGGAAAGCCGTGCAGTCTGTGGGGTCGCACCCGAACTAGCTACAAAGGCTGGTGCTAGACTAGTGGTAGCTGCAACTCCTACACAAAGACCCTCAGAGGCGCCTGGACTGGAAACAACACACGCACCAAGACTGGAAACATAGGTCTCTACTCGTGCAGCCGGGAACGGTCCTAGACCAGGCAGGTGAGACTCAACTGGTGCAGCAGTGCGCTGGCGAAGACGTGAGGGCCAGTGCGGTGTAATAGCGTGAGGACCAAAACGCTCACGGTGGAGGTCGTCGAGTCGACGGTAGTAGCTGGACGCTGAGTGGTCAGGACTCCAGCAGGTAGTGCCAGCACCAGGGCCTGTCAGGGCCCGGTACCCGCAGGGGCCGACGTCTCGCTCACTGCCAGCTGAGCCACTGCTAGGGGCGCCACACTTTGGACCCGAAGGTCCCCACTGCCGGGAGTGCTGCGGCTGGCCCTGCTGCTGTAGAACTCTAGTACACGCCATCTGAGGAGCTAGATACGGGGGGGGTTGCGCTGGTGGTAGCCTAAGTTGCTGCTGGTGCGCTGGGGGCAGCCTATGCTGCTGCTGGTTCTGCTAGGGGCAGCCTACGCCGCTGGTGGTTCTGCTGGGGGCAGCCTAAGCTGCTGCTGGTTCTGCTGGGGGCAGCCTACGCTGCTTCTAGTGCTGCTGGGGGGCAGCCTAAGCTGCTGCTCGTTCTGCTGGGGGCAGCCTACGCTGCTGCTGGTTTTGCTGGGGGCAGCCTAACCTGCTGCTGGTGCTCTGGGGGCAGCCTATGCTGCTGCTGGTTCTGCTGGGGGCAGCCTACGCTGCTGCTCGTTCTGCTGAGGGCAGCCTATGCTGCTGCTGGTTTTGCTGGGGGGCAGCCTACTCTAGTACGTGTGGAGTGCGGTTCTGTACAGTTCTGTGCGGTTGTGTGCGGTTCCAGGGGAGGTAGCACGGGTGAAGCGCGGTTCTGTGCAGTTCCAGGGGAGCTAGCACGGGTGAAGTGCGGTTCTGTGCGGTTCAGTGCGGTTCTGTGCGGTTCTGTGCGGTTCTGTGCGGTTCTGCGGGTACGGGTGGTAGACTCTGGTTTC